AGAGATCAGCGTCAGAAGTTTCTCGATTTATAAACATCAAGTACTGCTTCAGGAATTCGGAAGCAAGCTGGTGGAAACTCCCGATTGAATTCCGCCTAAGTTTGGTGAAATACTCGAGCGCTGCTCCTTTTAGGTTTTCGACGAAAAGACGGCAGTAGCCCGCGTCTTTTTCGTGATCCTTGTGCTTGGCTCGTCCCATGGTAATCTGGAAGGCCTGCAGGTGCGCTTTGGGATCAGCCGTCCTGTCGTAAGTTGGCACCTTGAGCTTTCCTGGATCAGGTAGCTTGGCCTCGGTGATGCAAGCCGTAAAAGGTGTTCCGAGATTTGTATAGCAGCCGATCGATTTCGGGTGCGGCGCTGGTAGCATGGTGAATTTTAGATTTCACCGCTTTTACCGCTGCGGCCATTTTAGTGTTGTAGTCGCGGAGGTTGCAAATCTCAGTTAGATCGCCAGCAGTTTTCCGACCTCGTCGGCGTTTGCTGCGAGTAACTGGAGTTTGCTCCTCCTTGTCTTCAGTAAGAGAGCGCTCGGGAAAAGACTCCGGCTGAGGGCTGCGAGTTTTCCTTCTCTAGGATGGACGTCCGCGTCCTCATCCGACAAATCGGATTGGTCGCTTGTTTCTAGGTTAACCCTTTCAATGCTGTCATCCTCGGTCTCCTGTCTGCGAGCAAGAAATTTGTCCAATTTATTTAGCGTCGCGTCAGGGTTATCTTTTCCGGATTTTTGCTCCGGCAGATTTCCCTGCTCGGTTCTGGGGCGATCCGTATGAGTCCTAAAATCGAGCCTTCTTCCGCGGATTCTAGTGGTTCCGCGGGGGCGAGTTTTCCTAGTTCTCACAGTTAAGGTTTCAACCTGTTTTGCGAGTGAACTGATGAGCGTTTCTTGCTCCTCCGATTTCTTTTTTAAATCGGAGAGCATCTTCTCGACGGCCTTGGTGTTAGCGTTAGTGTTAACCGCGGGCACATCTAGAGCTGGTGTGTTTTTAACATTGTCTCCATCGATGCGAGTTGGTTGTTCTTCAGACATTGCTTCTCGATTTAGCGTGCTGCGGTTTGAGTGTAAGATAGATCCGACCCCCCTCTATCTAGCGCCAACTTGTGGGAACCAAAATTCACCCTTGTCGATTTTACGTAAATTTAGGAATTTAGAGTAAACCCTAATTTCCCAGAGGACCCAGCTATATGCTGAACCGCACACAAGAAATCAAGAACACGATATGGATAATTAAAAGATGTAAAAGAAAACTAGATTGAGAGCAAGAAGGATCTTATTCTGAATTTGCGTAAGAGTGGTATAACAAGAGTAGTCTTAGCTGCGAGAGCCGTCGTCGAGATTTCTAGTTCTAGCAATCTAAGACTAAAACCCTAGTTGAGCCACAGCTCGATAACAAAAACGGAAATATTCCTAAGTGCTAAGTTTGGTGGTAGCTCTGAAAACTCGTCCTCTGCTTTCTGCTTATATACTCCCTCCTTAGGCAGTTTAGTCCTTCTTTTCCGCCTAGATTCGAGTTTATCGGGAATCTTCCATTTATCTCGATCTTTCCATTTTCTTTGCGGAAATCTTCTATTTATCTTCAAACTTGACATTTATCTTCTTTCTGTGAGTATCTTTGGGCTGGATTTCGTTTAAAGTCGCAAGTGGATTTTTATCGCGCTTCTCGGCTGTCCGAGCCGTTTTGCGATAAAAACCGTTTTACCATTCTATGCGAGATCGTTTCCTGATACGATGCCTTTATTATAAGATTTCTCTAGTCGATCGTATAGTTTGAGAATGCACGATTTTTCATCTAATCGTTGCCGTTTTTTACGATCTTCCCAACCTTTACGAGAAAAGAGGAATTTTTCAATTTTTATCGTAAAACTTGAACGGTAAGGCGGATCGATACGAAACGAGAGACCATTCGACCATGGTTCAGAGCATGATCGAACCAAAGGACGTATGCCTTGCGTCAAGGACGCGGGAGATCGAGGCTCGGGACAGTCAGCTCGACGTACGATGAGCCGAACTGGGTTTGTTCAGCTCGCCGTACGGCGAGCTGTTATGAGGCGACCAGCTTGCCGTACGGCGATCTGGCTTGGTCAAACCAGTCGCCGTACGGCGAGCTGGTCCGCGATCGACCAGTTCGCCGTATGGCGAGCTGAACCAGCTGGTTCGGCTTGTCGTACGTCGGACTGCTTCGGTCGAACCTGCTCGCGGTTTATGGCGGATGCGGTTTTTTTGCTTAACATGGGCAATCGTGTAATCGGTGATTGTTTCGTTCATTCTTCCGAGATGACGATTTTCAAGTTTTCCGCGGATTTCCTTTGTTCGGAAAGTCCTTAGAATTTTATAAAACAACTTCTCGTGTTTTATAAAACATATTTTTATTTTTGCAGAAAGTTTTGGTCATTGATTCCGTCGTACCGATTTTGCTCCCAACATTAAACACAAAACAAGACATACAAGATATAAATCTCATAAAGTAGCACAACATAACGTTACACTACCAAAACACTTCATAGATAAATATTTATAAGGTTTTATAAGTTTGAGAATGTAAAATTTCATTAGAAACTTCGTCTACGTTCCCAGTATCAAATTGATTATGAGAAATCAAGTTAAAATTAAGGATACAGGAAAAAAACCCTATCAAATATAATGTTCTTACGTGTTTATCAGAGATCGCATTCTGTTCGTCGAAGCTCATCGAGTTTTTCAAGTTCGTTGGAGAGCCTGTCGCATAGTTCGTCGTATAGCTCATCACGTTCATTGGAGAACTCCTTTGGTCTTGTCGGATTTGATAACCGTAGAGCAATTGGAAGCTCGACGAATTTGAAAATGAAGAGTTCGTGGGAGAGAACATATAGGTATAGGTTTAATTAATTAGGGGTATAATAGCCTATGCCGGAGATGGCCGACCTCACCGGAGATGGCCGAGTTCACTAAGAGATCTCGCCGGAGTTCGTCTCAATTTGATCTCATGACATAGATTCGAAGTAGAAATAGATCTATGTTAGATTAAATAAATGAGAGGTACAATGGTATTTTGTCTATTAAAATTTTAGTGATAAAGTTAGTTAGGGTATAAGTGAAATATAGTAGAAGGAAAATGCTAGATTAGGCAAATTCCCTTATAATGTAGAATTTTATTAAGAGTAATAACATCAAATCAATTTTATTAACTAATTAAGATATAAAAAATTTATTAATTTCATATTTTTTAATTTAACTATAAATATTTTATTTTAAATTTCAACAAATTTTATAAAAAATGTTATATTTTAAATGATTAAATATATAAAAATTTTAGTATAATTATACATTAATACTTTGTTCAATTTATTCTACACGAAACATATCTTTTAATTAAAAAAAAATGAATATACTACTAGTATTGTATAGATTACTAGGTGTTGTGCCCACATATGCAGGCATAATTTTCTTACGAATAATTATTATTTTTTGTTTTATTAATTCTAAAATAATATTATAAGTTATTTTTATAGTTTTAAAAAATCTAAATCAAACATTAATATATTTTATATGAATTTTCATCAAAATCTATATGCTTATTCTAGTGTTGAAAAACATCCACATAATAAAATATTAGTCAAAATTAATTATATATAAAATTAAGATATTTAAACATTATCATATTACAGTATTATATTCAGATAATAATAACATATATAAGAATTATCCTCAGTTATCTAAGATAATAACATATTAATCTAATTTTATTTTTTAAATTTCGTTTTTAATTTTAAAATTAGTTATGTATAAAAATTTCATTAAGGGTAAAATATATATTAACCGCTCTAACTTTTAACGTGAGAGTTCCGTTGCGAAAATCACTTTTATCAAAATTTATATGCTTATTATAGTGTTGAAAAAAATCCACATAATAAAATATTAGCCAAAATCAATTATAAATAAAATTAAAATATTTAAGCATTATCATGTTATTACAATATTATATTCAGATAATAATAACATATATAAGAATTATCCTCAGTTATCTAAGATAATAACATACTAATCTAATTTTATTTTTTAAATTTCATTTTTAATTATAAAATTAGTTATATATAAAAATTTCATTAACGGTAAAATAGATATTAACCGTTCTAACTTTTAACGTGAGAGCTCCGTTGCGAAAAATCAATTCGCAAATAATAGTATAGATGCACATAAACAAACATGTTTTCCAAATCATGCAAATTAATGGTGGTGGTGAACAACTGGTGAACGCCTGTCCATTTCAGGATGGGTTTCCATCCCAACATACCTGTCTTGAATTCAGTTATATTTCCAATTTCATGCAAATTTAATATTGGTGATCTAGTTACGGAGAGGAAATAAACGTGTCAACTGACTCAATTCTGCCGAAAACTTTTGTCCAAAAAAATACCTCTGCCGAAAACATAGTTCAAAAAAGTACACGAGAGAAAAAGATAACTTTTAAGAATCAAATAACAAAAACAACGCGGATCGGCACTAGAAAATAGAAATGTCCATGTGCAAGTTTATCAAAAAAAAAAAAAAAAAGATTCGAGTCTGGCCACAACAAATTTAACATTCCTTACGTTGGGGCGTTGGACCCTCTTCAGAAAATAGTTGGGAATGTGACTGTTCAGATACCAGAGTTATCAAAAAAAAAAAAATTTATCAAAATAATAATACCATTTTATCTTCTATCTTTTTTTTCTCTTTCAGTAGTGTTTAAGCCCAAAGCAAAGTAAGTACAGTTTATTTTATGCAGTATTTATCACTTTAACTTTCAATTTATAAATTCTTTAATATAAGATGTTATGCATTTGTTTATTGAAAATAGTCTTAAAAGCTATGGAAATCGTCAAATACCAATAGTTAATGATAATTTTTGGCTATGACTGATAGAGAAAATCAACCGGGTAATGTGACGGCACTATATTGGCCATGTGGCTTCAACCACTACCCACTACACATATATGATATATATCGAGCGTGAAAAGATCGCAAGAGTTGGCAAAGAAAAAAAATGGAAGAATTGGATATAGTGATAGTGGGAGGAGGTATTGCTGGTCTTGCGACGTCCCTTGCTCTTCACAGGTTCATTATTTTCTCCCCTCTTTTCTAAATTGTATATCTGATATCTATGGTAACTTGCAAACTATATACATGAATTATTATACTAGAGTATCAACTAATATACAAATATAAATATAAAGAAAGGGTATAAAGAGCATTGTGTTGGAGAGATCAGAGTCCGTAAGATCGGAAGGAGCAGCATTTGGTATTCAGACTAATGGATGGCTTGCTCTTCAGCAGCTAGGCGTGGCCGATAAGCTCCGTCTCAATTCTCTCCCAATTCATCAGTAGGTGTATAAGCATTTATAATTTTAATTAATTAATTAATTATAACTACGATTTGTATATTGATAGTTTTCTCTTGTACGGTTGAATAGGATAAGAGATGTTATGATCGAGAAAGGGATCAAACAAAGAGAATCAGTCGGACCAGCATCGTATGGAGAAGTAAGAGGTGTAATAAGGAATGATATGGTCCGAGCTTTGGCTCATGCTCTTCCTATAGGGACTCTCCGGCTTGGTAGCCAAATTGTGTCGGTTAAGCTGGACGAAGCTACGGCGTTTCCGATTGTTCACCTCAGAAACGGACAAGATATCAAAGCAAAGGTACGTCTATCGACTGTAAGGTTATATAATTTGATATTGTTCAATGATTGGGTAGTGGAATATTTTAGTATGTAACTCGACAGCGACGTTATTGAAGGTCGTGAGCGGATATATATTATTGTTTTCTGAATACATTTAATGAAAGCTACATGTTTGGCATGAAATGGCTGAAGTTATTAGTTGGCTGAATTTTTAAATAGTGACAAAATTGTGTTTACAAAACTAACTAAATATATACATATATATATATATATACTATGGCTTCGATTGGTACAACAGATGATAAAACAGTACGAGTATGTTGTAGAAGTGTGATGCAGAAGCTATATACTTTCATCAAAGTTTTTAATAAAGTGATTGGCAGAGCAGTAGCAGTATACAATTATGAAATTATAATAATAGTTAGTATATATTATATTTATTTTAAATAATATTTATATATTTATAATATTTATTAATAATATATTATTATTAAAAATAATGAATCTTATTCATTATATAAATTATATTTAAAAATGTAAAATTTATTTTAAAATTATTAAAATATTTTTGACTATAAACATATTTTAATATTATTAAATTAATTAATTAATTATATGTAATTTATATATAAAATATTAATATTTATTTAATGGTAGAGCAGTAAATGATTCATATATAAAATTATCATAAAAAGTAATATATGTTATATAATTTATTTATTATTGTCTAAATAATATGTTTATATCTATAATATATAAATATATATTATTTCATGTTTGTTATTAAAAATAATGAATGATATCTATAATCATATAAGTTATATTATATTTAAAATGTGAAATATTGTTCTTTTAAAAAATTTAAAAAATTTAATTATAACTTTTTTTAGAAAAAAAATAATTTTTTTGTTATAAAAATATTTTTTTATATTATTAAACAAAAATAAATTAATTATATATAATAATTTTTAAGTTTTATATATTTATCTGTAAATGCTCTCTTAAAAACTCTATATGAGAGCATTGATCAAATAGCATTTGGATAACATGCATTTTGTAATCCTTCTTTGGTAAAAGTTGTTGGATAATATAGAACGTAATGCTTCTGTTAATGATCTATCAATTTATTAAAATCACTGACCATTGATTTTCCAGCCCTATTTCTTTGAAAAATATTATCACCTACTTACAGTTCCGCAGTTACAGTTTATACTAACCATACATCTTATTAATTCTGAACTTTCATTAGGTTTTGATTGGCTGCGACGGATCAAACTCTATCGTCTCTAAATTTCTGGGACTAAACCCGACTATAGCCCTTGGTTCTCAGGCCGTGAGAGGGTTCACAAACTATCCACACGGCCATGGATTCCAGCAAGAATTTATAAGAATCAAGATGGACAATGTCGTAAGCGGACGACTTCCTATAACTCACAATCTCGTCTTTTGGTTTGTTGTTATGCTGGAGTGTCCCCAAGGTAATTGATATTTTCTCCTTTCACGGTACAGCCAATATTAGATACTTCTAATTTATACAGAATAAAATCATATAATTGATTAGTCGATAGTTATGTCAATTTAATGTTGGATTTAATTATTAGTAAGTGAATCGAAACAATAAGTTATTCTATACTACTACTACTACTAATTTTCAAATACTTTAAAGGATAGTATAATACTATAATGAATAAAATAATAAATGCCAAATCTATCTTTCACCTACAAACTTATAAAATTAATTAAAGCTTTTGTTTCATATTAAAGATGAAATATAACCAACAAACTATAACAAAAATTATTGGTTGATTACATTTCATTCTATATACAGGGGAGGTTATGAAGATAAATCCAAATTTATTTGTGAAACCTCCGAATGAATACGATAAATTTATCAGCTTTCATTTCGGTATATTAAAGGGAAATGATAGGGTTACAAAAATCGGATACTTTTGATTTATTTTAGTGATTTCTTAATGACGTATATTGATTATGATTATGTTAAATAAATACAGACTCGAACAATTTAAAAAATCAAGAGGATGTGGCACGATTGACACTAGCATTGGTCTGCGAATTCTCCGACGAATGGAAAGAGATGGTAAAGAAGTGCGATATAGACTCCTTATATATCAGCCGTTTAAGGTACCGTTCACCATGGGACGTTATGTCCAGTAAGTTCCGACGAGGCACTGTGACAGTGGCTGGAGACAGTATGCATCTGATGGGTCCATTCATAGGACAAGGATGTTCGGCTGCGCTCGAAGACGGTGTCGTTTTAGCTAGGTGCTTGTCGAGCAAGTTAAGTCAAGAAGATAGTATGAACAATGTCTCTTCAAGGAAGCAAATAGAAGAAGCGATTGATGAGTACGTTAGAGAAAGAAGAGGGAGACTCGTGGGGCTCTCGACACAGACATATCTTACCGGTAGGTTAATTGAAGCTTCATCACCGGCAAGGAAGCTCTTGCTTATAGTTTTACTGATGATTCTGTTTCGTGACCATATTGGTCACACTCGATATGATTGTGGCCGTCTTTAATGGGAAACATATTATGGACGTACTGTTTAAGTGAGAGATTGTGTGAGATGTTTCATCGGGGAGTTAATTATCCAAATCGCAAGTGTATATTTTCCTCTTTTTAAAAAAAAATATAAATATATATATATATATATATATATATATATATATATATTCGTTACTATGTCATTCTCACTGGTCAAAGAGAAAAGCCCATTCGAAAAGGATTTCATATATATAATCAGAATTTTAGAGTGATGTCATCTCAAAACACTAAGATTTATTGAATTGATGATTTGGGAGAATTTCATTATATACCAAACTCAAGGGAATTTTTATAAAACTCGAGATTTGACCAAAGTTTTAGGAGGTGAATAGTAAGGATTTTAGGAATTTCAGAAATAAAAAATATATTTAAAAAAAATAAATAAATAAACTAACACATAAAACTTAGAGAGATATATTGAATAGTGGATTTTAAAGGTGAGAAAGTCAAATTACAATTTAGCTTATGTCACATATCGAATTGATGATTTGGGGGATTTATTGAATTGATGATTTGGAGAATTTCATTATATACCAAACTCAAGGGAATTTTTATAAAACTCAAGATTTGACCAAAATTTTAGGAGGTGAATAGTAGGATTTTAGGAATATCAGAAATAAAATATATATATATATATATATATATATATATATATATATATATTTAAAAAAAAATAAACAAACTAACACATAAACTTAGGGAGATGTATTGAATAGTGGATTTTAAGGTGAGAAAGTCAAATTACAATTTAGCATATGTCACCTGAGGAGAGGGAGGGAAACATATGTCACTTATGAAAGAGAGGGGGGGGGGAGCATATATTATAACAATACGCATTAGAACACCCGCGTCAATGGATTTCTCACCCATTCTTTCCTCAATAAATTATTACAATAATTATAAAATAATGAAAAAGAAAAAGCAAAAGAGAAAACAGAAGAACAACGATTCTAGGCAGAGAGATGTACGTAAAGTAGGAAGATATTTTAATGCCAGAGGTCAACAAATCGGTGATTGAAAGTTATTATATATTGAGTAAATTTGCTCAAAATACTAAAAGAAGTGGAATACCTTAATTTTAGGGGAAAATATTGATGATAGAGGGAATAAAGATGGGGGGAAATAGGGTATGGATTGCAAATAGGATAAATGTTATGGGTAGGGAGTGCAAATACTCTTATATTTAACATTTTGTTATTTCTTTAATTTATATTGTTATTAAATTAGATGAGAATTGAGAAGTACTCTACCGCTAATGATGCTGGTAGATGTAGCTCGAGGTGTTGCATATGTGTTGTAGAGTATAAAATGTATATATGAGTAAATCACATAAGATAAGAAAGTCAAATTACAACTTAGCATATGTCACTTATCGAGGAGAGGGGAGGAGCATATGTTACAACAATACGCATTAGATGCAGCTCGAGGTGTTGGGTATCTGCTGTAGAGTATGAGGTGATATATTGTTTAAATGGTTTTTAGATTCTGGTTTTTGGTTTTTGGCTTTTAGTTTTTAGATTTTGGTTTTTCATTTTTGGTTTTTGATTTTGTAGTAGATTTTAGATTTTTGAAAAACACGATTGGTGATTTTGATTTTAGTTTTTGGTTTTTGATTTTAATTTCTTAGTTTGAATTGTTCAGATTTTTATTTTTTCTAAAATAGTATGAATGATTTCTTTATTTTTAAATATATGTACTATCTTTACAGAACTTGACTTACGATTTATTTTAGAATATTAGAATTACTAAGAATATATCATATTTTTAATAAACAATATTGATATATTATTAACAACGTAGGTACATTTAAAATAAAGTAAATGTTAAAAATTAATTTAATTTTATTGAGAGGTTTTTGAAAAATGTTTTTATATAAATTTAAATTAATTATATTGACAAGTCTAGTTATATGTAAATCAATTGTCAATTTTCTTCTTCTCACTAAACATAAATAATTCGTTAATATTATGTAAAATATTTGCTATTGTATTTTAAATAAATATAGAGATTTGGAATGTACACACAGTTTATAGTATAATATATATATATATATATATATATATATATATAGAAAAGTGATCATAAAACATACAAATTGCTATTATATAAAGTTCTCTTAAAACAAAATACAAACACTAACATGAAAAAAATTCTAGAAATCTAAGAAAACACAGATTTGGTTTTTGTTTTAGATATAATTAAGTTTTTTTTAAAAAAATAGAAATAACTGGATTTTAAAGTACATTTAATTTTAGATAATTAATAATTATATATTATAAAAATTAATATATATATAAAGTATGATAAAATAAATAAATTTATGTAATTCAGATATTTCAACATAACAACTAATAGCTAAAGTTTAAATAAAAATAAAAATATAATAAATCTATAATAGTTATAACTAACAAATTTAATTAACTTTAATAGATTTATAGCATAAGATATTAATTAAATAAATATAAAATTAACCTATCTAAACAAACTCCAATAACTTCACTTTCTTAAAAGATTATTAATTTTGTGATTTTTATTCATGTGTTTTTGTAGATTAAATGTAGCTTCCACATAGTAGATGTTTTCTAAAATTAAGATTTTTCTGCAAAAAAAAAAGAATAGAAAAAAATGTTTGACGTGAGCAAAAACTAGAAAAAATGTGGATTCTAGCTTTTAAGTAGAAAACAAGAGAAAAGTTAGTTTCCCTAAAAATTACAGATTTTACTTTGCTGAAATCATGATTGGATAAAAAACAGTTTTTAGAATATCAGAAACCAAAAACTACTTTGAAAACTATAAACAATCAACCTCTAAATGTATAAGGACATGTGAATAAATACTAGATACTTACAATACCTAATGTACACTGTATATATACGGTTGTCTCTCTAAGAATACAAACTATTTTCTCATACTTCCATATGGTATCAAAACCCTTAAATCTCTAATTTTGTCAAAACTCTTTACGGCCACCACTTCTAAAACTCGTCGCAGAAATCCTTTTTCATCCATTCCTACGAATCATGTCCACCTCTCCAGCCTCTTCCGACGAAACAATCATGGTTTCCAATGCCACAAAATTTCTCAACGTCAATATGACCAACGTCACAAGTTAGCTCACGACATCTAACTTTCTTATGTGGAGTCGTCAAGTCCATACCTTACTCGATGGATATGCTCTTGCTGGATCCATAAATGGATCCACCATCACGCCTCCACTTACAACGACGGTTGATGGTGTTCTCATGACAAATGAAGACTATATCTTGTGGAAGCGACAAGATCAACTTATCTACAGCGCTTTACTTAGCGTGATAACGGTTTCTATTCAACCCATACTCTTGACAAAAACCACTTCCGCTTAGATCTGGAACACACTCTCCTCTACGCATGCGAAGCCTTCTCGTGCCCACATTAAGCAACTACGCCAACAAATCAAAAACTGGACCAAAGGCACGATGTCGATTGATGCGTACATCCAAGGATACACCACTCGATTTGATCAATTGGCTCTCTTAGGCAAACCTTACGAACTAGAAGACCAGATTGAGTATATTCTTGAAGGATTTCATGAGGAGTACAAACAGCTCATTGATCAGATCGAGAGCCACGACTCCACACCTTCAGTAACGGAGGTTCATGAAAACCTTCCTAACTTCGAAGTAAAGCTTTAAAACAAACCACCAACTCAGACGGTTCTTGCTATCACTGCCAATGTTGCTAACTATTGTGGGTCTCCTCACAACAATGGTAATCACAACAACTATCAAGGTTCCAATCGCACCAACAATCAAAGCTCCATCATACCGGCAATAGGAATGATCAGACTTGGCAACAACAACAGCTCACCTCGCGTCATGACTACCCCACTCGTGGCTATCAAGGGAAGTGTCAGCTATGTGGTGCACACGGAAACAGTGCCAGACGATGCTCACAACTCCAAACTGCAGCCAGATCAGCAAACGCGCAAACATCAACACATCATCGAGATATGATTAACTTTACTTCATGAAGCATCTCTTCCGATGACGTAATGGACTTATTCTTTTGCCACTGCGGTTTATCTAATCAATAGACTGCCCTCTCCGGTGATCAATCATGAATCTCCATACCAGAAGCTGTTCGCCAAACCACCGAATTACCTTAAGCTGAGAGTATTTGGCTGCCTATGCTTTCCCTCGCTGAGCCCTTATACGGTGCACAAGCTTGACAGTCGATCACTACCGTGCACCTTTCTTGGATATTCCATTACGCAGAGCGCATACTTATGTCTCCATCTTCAGACTGGATGCATCTATACATCTCATCATGTGCAGTACGCCGAGTCCATTTTTTCATATGCGTCTACTCTCCTCCCGAAGGTTGGTGATGAAGTTGCCACTCCTTCCCTCTTTACTCCGCCTACCCAAGTACATGTCTTCACGGCTCCACTCATACAACATCCATCGATAATACGCTGGGTCAGGATCCTCAATCACCAGTGTTGCAACTTACAGCAACACACTCTGTTTCTCAAGAACAAAATGATAATATGGTACATAAATTAATTCAACTGATACATTAACTAGTGCTGTGCAGGTACAAATGGAGTCACCAACAAGCTCCCCTTCGCCTCCACCATCTTCTGATTACCAAACCACAAACACACAACCTGCACCACCGCCCACTACTCAACCATCAGCCTCATCAAATCAAACTACACAAGCACCATCACCACCTCAAGTTACGAATGCCCATCCCATGCAAACTCGAGCCAAAAATAAAATCTTAAAACCATCCAAACAAATTTCTCTCTTAACCGCGAAACTAAACACCAAATTATCGATCCCAACCACCCTGAACCAGGCCGAGAGATGAACACTGAAAACAGTCTATGCGTGACGAGTATAATGCTCAACTTTGGAATCAGACATTTGAATTAGTTCCCCCCGAAACCGAATCAACATGTCATCGCTACTAAATGGGTTCACACACTAAAATATTTACCTAATGGTGTTCGTGATATGTACACATCTCGTTGGGTAGCAAGAGGAAACGATCAAGAGTATGGGATTGACTA